GGGTAAATGCGTTCATTTCAAACGAGAGAAATTGGCCAAAACAAAGGGGTTAAAGGAGCCCGTGAAAGTCCAAAATCCAGTGGAGCAGTCAAATTTTAAAGCTCTAAAATGATCTCTTTTGACTCTGGGTCTCATATCCAGGTCACACTGATGCAGAAGGTTGGTTCCCATGGTCTTGGGCAGCTCCACCCTTGTGGCTTTGAAGGGTACAGATTTTCTCCCAGCTGCTTTCAAAGGCTGGCACTGAGTGTCTGTGGCTTTTCTAGGCCAATGGGGCAAGCTATCGGTGGATCTACCATGCTGGTGTCTGGAGGGTGGTGGCCCTCTTCTCACAACTCCACTAGGCAGAGCCCCAGTAGGGACTCTGTGTGGGGCTCCAATCCTACATTTCCTGTCCACACTGCCCTAGCAGAGGTTCTCCATGAGGGCCCCGCCCTGCAGCAAACTTCTGCCTGAGCATCCAAGCATTTCCATACATCTTCTGAAATCTAGGCAGAGGTTACAAATCCCAATTCTGGACTTCTGTGGCTTGGCAGACTCAACACCATGTGGACGCTGCCAAGGCTTGAGGCTTGCACCCTCTAAAGCCATGACCCAGGCTCTATGTTGGCCCCTTTCAGCCACAACTGGAACAGCTCGGACACATGGCACCAAGTCCCTAGGCCCAGCCCACAAAACAGTTTTCTCCTGGGCCTCCAGGCTTGGGAGGGGCTGCCTTGAAGACCTTGAACATGCCCTGGAAACATTTTCCCCCTTGTCTTGGGTATTAACACTTGGCTCCTTAATATTTATGCAAATTTCTGTAGCTGGCTTGAATTTCTCCTCAGAAAATGAGTTTTTCTTTTCTATCACATTGTCAGACTGCAAATTTTCTGAACTGTTATGCTCTGCTTCACCTATAAATCTGAATGCCTTCAACAGCACCCAAGTTACATCTTGAATCCTTTGCTGCTTAAAAATTTCTTCCATTAGATACTCTAAATTATCTCTCTCAGGTTCAAAGTTCCACATATCTCTAGGCCAGGGGCAATATGCCATCAGTCTCTGCGAAAACATATCAAGAGTCACCTTAGCCCCAGTTCGCGAGAAGTTCCTCATCTCTATCTGAGACTACCTCAGCCTGGACCTTACTGTCCATATTGCTGTCAGGCTTATGGTCAAATCCATTCAACAAGTCTCTGGAAGTTCTGAACTTTCCCAGATTTTCCTGTCTTCTTCTGAGCCCTCCAAACTGCTCCAACCTCTGCCTGTTATCCAAAGTTGCTTTCACATTTTTGGGTATCTTTTCAGCAATGCCGCACTTTACTCGTACGAATTTACTGTATTAGTCCATTTTCATCCTCCTGATAAAGACATTCCCAAGGCTGAGAAGAAAAAGAGGTTTAACTGGACTGACAATTTCACGGGGCTGGGGAGGCCTCAGAATCACGCTGGGAGGTGAAAGGCACTGCTTCCGTGGTGGTAGCAAGAGAAAATGAGGAAGATACAAAACAGAAATCCCTGATAAAACCATCAGATCTCATGAGACTTATTCACTACCATGAGAACAGTATGGGGGAAACCACCCACATGATTCAAATGATCTCCCAACAGGTCCCTCCCACAACACATGGGAATTATGGGAGTACAATCCAAGATGAGATTGAGCTGGGGACAGAGCTAAGCGATATCAGTAGTCGAATGAATTTTGATGGTGTCACTTTTCTTTGCCACTCAAACTCCAGACTTCTCTAAATTCTTCACCTCTTTCATAAGAGCTTTTTCCCCACTAGGTTCTGTCATATGCTGTCTCAGGCAGTAACAGTATTCTGTAACGTGCTCTGCATTACCAAGCTGTGGTCATAAGATCCAACTCTTTATAAAATTTTCTGCAATATCTAAAATATACTTGCGGCTATGTCTGGGTCAATGAATATTTTGAATTTATCTTTTCAAACATTATAGACTAAATGGAAAAAAGGAAACGATAAATAAAGTATTTTAGATGCACAGCAAACTCTTCTTTAAGGTTCTGACTTATATTTTTTTTCTTCCTGTGTTAGTCTGTTTTCATACTGCTATAAAGAGTCCACCTGAGACTGGTTAATTTATAAACAAGAGAGGATTAATGGAGTCGCAGTACGGGATGGCTGAGGAGGTCTCAGGAAACTTACAATAATGGCAGAAGGTAAAGAGGAATTAGGTACCTTGGTTCACAAGGTGGCAGGAGGTAGAAAAAGTGTGAAAGGGAACTGCCAAACACTTATAAAACCATCAGTTCTAGTGATAACTCACTCACTATCACATGACATAGAGGGGAACCATCCATGTGAACTAGTTACCTTTCACCAGGTTCCTCCCTCGACACCTGAGAATTACAATTCAACATGGTATTTGAGTGGGGACACAGAGCCAAACATATTATTTCTTCATCTCTTTTATTTACAAATAGTCACTGCCTCCTACCTGAAAGAAAATTTATGTTAATTTCTAGGTTATAATAACATTATCTGTGACTAATATATTTACCTTTTTCATTTAAGAATGGCCCAACTACAGACATATTACAAACGGCTTCTTCCACTTATATTCAAAATTATGTGAAAGTGACAACAAAAACACATTACTCATCTGAAAGCTACTATTGCTTATCTTAGAGAAGATTAAATTCTTCAGTCAGTTGACTTAAACTACTCATACTTTATAGATTTAACAGTACAAAAGCAAAATTATGATAATATAACTAGAGAAATATGATAAATTACTCTAACATTTTATTTAGACACCACATGATTAAGATTGTTGCAATAATTGCTGTAACGACCACATTTTTAAAAGTAGCAAAATTAAGATAGCTGCTTTAAAGATGCTCTGAGGTCGTAACTCGATAATAAAAGTAAAATCAGTACTGGATGAAAAATTCAATCAGAATGAAGTGATGCGCTTGAGCAGCTTCAGGGAACTTAACCTCTAGTCTGTTCTCTTACTTCTCTTTGTGTTTCCCCTATGTTGTTATTATCACTAGAGAAGACACCCAACATTCATTGTTATTATTATTAGAGGTCCTTCCCCTCTCTGAATCTCTGTTTATCACATTTTATTTTTCTTTCTTTCCTCACATATATGTGGGATTAAAGACTGCCTGACTATTTAATAATGATGTCGGTGTCAGAAGCAACACGAAGATTCCGAAAGAGAATTTAAAATATATAATTCCTTTCCTTATAAATGTTGAACATTTAAAACATTAATAAGTTAAGCCAATGTCATTTATAAACATGAATCATGTTTGCCTGGGCTCAGCACCAAGCGTCAACTCCATGGACAAGAAACCACTTTAGCAATTTTAAAGTAGAATGTCAGGAATTATACATCAGTAATTATCTGTATATTCACAAACATGTTAATTAGACTTGGCAAATTATATGTCAACTTTTATCTAGTTCAGCTACCTGCTTCAAGGTAGCTGAAGCTTGTTTATCCCAAGGGACATTAATTTAAATGTTTTGTGGAAGACACGGTCCTTGTCAAATTGAAACTCTTTTAATTTAAATGAATGAATAGCTTAGTTTATGTGTAAAATAAAGTTTACATCTTCTAGTAACTCGACATATGATTTTGGATTACATGCAGTATTATTACAATATGGGTGAGCATTAAATGTAAAAAAGTAATTATGATTGAATGCAGATTGCATGAAGGGTAAAGGCAAATAATGTTTAGTATACAAACAGATACTAAAAGGAGATGTTTACTTAATCTTATCTAGGCAATATTGCTTGAAATTAAAACTTTAATAAATGTAATTACTTGTGCACAAGTAAAAGAATATTAAGTCTAGATATAATTTTTCTTTAAAGGTCTTAAACCATCTCTCTTTTATTCTACTATATAGCTAAGAAAAATACCAATTCATACATTATTGTCATTAAAATAATTATGTTTTTATGTAGTTAAAAACTTAAGCAATATCTGTAAAATATTACAGAATAACTAAAGGAGCAAGTTATAAATGTTCAAATGTGCTAAGTATCAGATATACTGAAGGAATTTAACAAGTCTTTGCTTACTTACTATTCCATTATAAATGGTAAAAGAAGTTGCTTATAAAACAGTGAGATTCCATTACCATCTACTATGGAGCCATACATTTCCATATTTAAAATAGTCTATTTATAAAATCACATCAGTAGTTATTCAGCATCAAAAGTAGAAGATATTTCAAGTAAACTGAAGTTGTCATTCTCGACCCATTTTAGAAATAATGCATAGGTCTCAAAACATAAGAACTGCCTTATAATAAAAAGACAAACCTGATGTATGAAAATGAATATTGTGAATGATATAAGGGAGTAGTTTAACAAAACAGAAAATAAATATCCACTATTCAAGAAGATTTCATTGTAGAATATATCACATTTCTTTCAGAATTGAAACTTACTTAAAAATGGCGACTGTTCCACTGGATATATAAATACGGCTTTAGTATCTGGGCCTGTCCCATGGTATATTCCTCGTTATATGTTAATGTTTAAATTAACCAGCATTATTGCCTTACGGCTTTCTAAAATTCACCTACAATCTCTTCTTATATAGTTTTTTTTTTTAATTTCATGTTCTACTCCACTGATATTCATTCAGTCTTTAGAAATGTTTACTAATGTGAGTTCCTGGGTTTTATCTGCACAAAGTCAGAATACCTGGAAGACAGTGACATGGCAAAGCTGCCCAGTTCCCTCTCCCTTTCAGGGATCTCAATATCCTGAAACTCAGCACGCCATACAACAAACTAAATACCACCTAAGAATGCAGTTGAAAAGTCAGTCGATCCGGGGTTTCATCAGTATGATGCCTTGCTGTCACTGATAACCAGGTCAGTCACAAATACATTCATTTGTAATGCTGAAAACAGCTTTACAAATATCATCTTACTCAAAATAAATATTTTACTGATTCTCATTCATCCTAAATTAACTACATTTGCTTTCAAAAACATGCTCGGATAGCATCTTTTTAAAAAATACTGTATCGATAGAAATACCAGGTTAAACAAGCACAAAGCCAAGAAAACCAACGATGCCAGATAGTGAATTTCCATAGCACTGACCTCTGAAGACCCTGGCAGGAAAACACTGTTGAGTGGGGGTACCATGCAGTGCCAGCATCTTTTTAAAGTAATAAGATATGAGGCAGTGCTTTGTGACCTTAGATCTGTATTCTCTACTGATAACAGTAACGGACACTTGCTTACCACTTATTAGTTTGGCATTCTTCTAATAGCCCTACAAATATTAACTCCTTTAACACATATAAACCTTATAGTTACTATTTCACAAAGGAGGAAATAGGAACGTAAGAATAAGTATCTTGCTCAACTTCACATAACTGCTATGATAGCATAGATTCAAACTGAAGTAGTCAGTCTGACTCCAGAACACATGCTTCTAGGTTCTGTGAGTCACAGGTGATACTGTGTTCTTAGTGTTTGATAAGCATTTAATTTCGATTAAGTGGGTTAGTGTTTATAAGTATATCGGACACCTAGCAGGAGTCAAGTCTGTTTTCCTCATTTCTGTCCCATGACTTCACATTCACCTTCATGATTGCATACAAGTTTCCACGTTGCCTGCAGTACACCCTTCCATCGTGAGCCACGTACAACAGCCTTTTCATCAGTGGCTTCATCCAGGACTCAGCTTCAAATCAGTACAACAGTAAGAAGCATTGAATTCTTGCTGATAACTTGACTTCAAGTCAATTTTTTTATATGAAGAATTATTATTACAAGCAAAGATTTATAAGTCATCTTCATCACTTATTAATCAAACCTAGATATGATTTCTTCCTGTATTTCATGGAAAGCAGACTTAAATTTAATTTTTATTAAAGAAAAACCAGATCTCTTTCCATGTTTTTAAAACTAAAAATACTAAGGGCATACCTGATAAGTAGAAAATCTGATCACAACCCTGGCATTAGAATTAGATGTCTCATTTTCAAAAGAACAAGATTTCTGGCTCTCTCCATGCTGCTTGAAAATGTACAAGGGAGAGATGGAGAATGAAAGATAAGATAAGAAATAGAAGGTACTGATGAATTAGACATCAAGCTTGGTCATCCTTCATGACGTAGAGTGCACCAGAAATAGGTACTTTGCAGGATAATATCTGGTATTTCATGGGGCATTTCCCCCTGTGATTGATAATCAAATCTCCAATAATGTTGACAATTTTTCACATTTAATAACTGCTGATAGTTTATTTCTATGAAGACAATCTTCTTTATTAAATAAAAGAAAACTTGAGATGGCTATAAAGATTGACAATGTGTCTTCTTAAATATTTAAACACCAATGATTTATCAACCTACTTATTGTTTGCCACTGGTTTAACAAGGGGAATAAATTACCATTTCCATATTTCTTCTCACTTGACTCTGACCTTCCATGCTTGGAGGTCCCCTCCAATAGCAAACTCTTTCTGGATGTCCCTAGATAACCACAAGTTTTTATTTTTAAATCTTACTTTCAGCAATTCCACAGCACTAAAGTTAATGGCTTGCTAAACCCTTGGATAGCATTAAAAGCAGAGTCTGCACACTCGTCTCTTAACTTTGTGTCTGTTTTACTTTCCATTCTTCCTTAAACAGTTGTTCTTCTATAAAAGCTCAGCGGGGAGCTGTTCCCCACAGGCTCAATCAAGTGTTCACATCCGCTGGTCTCTCCAGCAGCGGATTTAATACATTTATTTGGACAAAATTAGGCCCTGAAACGTGGTGAGCTCTCAATTTACTGAATGGCAAAGCAAAAATCAGGCCAACCGAAAGGACTAAACAGATCCTCATATTTCCAGTCTTCCAAATGTAACTTACATAAGATCGATCTCGATCAATTTTTAGAAAAGGAAAACTTGGCAACTCCATAAAAAAGAGGCAACTCCAAGAAATCTCCTTCATGTAAAAATAAATAAAGATAATAATGTCTCTGTATTCTTTGAAACTTAAATTATTAGAAAACAACAAATATACGTTTTCCTAAATTTCTGATGATATTGTGTAACTAAATGTAATCCAAATTTAAGAAAAATAAGTATTTTCCACATGAAGTACATATCAAACATACTAATATAAGCCAAAATCCTTTTCATAAAATATCAGTATCACCAATATCCATCCAATAATGGATTTAGTGTTACATGGAAATTTTCCAAACTTCCAACTACTTATTTGAAGGTGTGTGTGTAAAGCATAGCATGTCCAAATACACACACATTTGTCCTCATACAGTAAGAAAAGAAATTATAGTACACACAGATTAAAATCTCATGTAAAAAAATGAGTACACTATCACAGAATTTCCATTTCAATTAAAATTACCAGACTAGAGAAGGTGGTACACTAGAGTCTATATCATTATTGTAAGAATTAGGTTAGTCTCAATGAAGCTGATGACATGTTTTTCATTGGACCAAACTTTTAGATGAATTTTTTTTTTAGCACGAACGCAGTCCTCCACTACCACAAATTATGCAGTCGATTTTCCCACATTTGGGGAAACCGCATGGTTCAGCACATCCGGACTGCAATGGATAAGCCTCGCCCTGGGAAAACCACCTTCGTGATCATGGGAGGTTAAGAATTGAGATGAGTTTTTAAAAGAAATATCATGTTCTTGTCCCAGATTATCATACCTTCCTTTGAATGTTGGATATATAATTAATGAAACCATTCAAGCTAAGAATAAATTGTCAGAAACTCATCTGTCTTCAGTGTTTATGTATGTGTCATTTTATTAAATATTTGAGATTATTAATACACAGAAGGCTTTATTTCCACTAGGGGTTTACAGTCTTCTCTAAATGTAAGGCAGACAGGAGTTCTTTCTCAACATTCAAGGGAAGAAAACAATTTTTCTTAAAACTTATTTTAAATTCAGGGGCACACGTACAGGTCTACTGACTGGCTGTACTGTGTGATGCTGACGTTTGGGCATTAATCATTCTCTCACCTTGGTCATGAGTATAGGACTCAGTAACTGACTTTTCAGCTCTTGCCTCTAACCCCCTCTAATAACCCCCAGTTTCTGATGTTGCCACATTCGTGTCCTTGAGTACCCAATGTTTAGCTCCCACTTACAAGTTAAAACGTGGCATTTTGTTTTCTGTTTCTGCATTAATTTGCTTAGGATAATGGCTTCCAGCTGAATCCATGTTGCTGCAAAGGACATGATTTTGTCCTTTTTTATGACTGAATACTATTCCATAGTGTGTATGTACGACATATTCTTAATCCAGTCCACTGCTGATGGGTACCTAGGTACCCTGATGTCATGTCTTTGGTATTTTAACTAGTGCTATAATAAATATACAAATGCCTATGTCTTTTGGGTAGAATGATTTCTTTCTTTGGGGTATGTATCCAGTAATGGAATGGCTGAGTCAAATGGTAGTTCAACTCTTAGTTCTTTGAGAAATCTCCAAACTGCTTTCCACAGTGGCTGGACTAATTTGCATTTCCATCAACAGTATATAAGCATTCTCTTTTCTCCACAGCCTCTCCAGCATCTGTTGCTGTTTGTTTTTTTTTTAACATTTTAATAATGGCTATTCTGACAGGTGTAAGACAGCACTTCATTGTTGTATCGATTTGCATTTTTCTGGTGATTAGTGACATCTCATCAGTCTTGAAATAAAACCACTTAACACAGGAGAAAGCCAAATCAAATCTGTTCTATTTGCTCTATAAATGGGGAAATCACTCTAAAAATGGCAGGAGAGAAGTGGATATGGATCACGAAATAGAGGGAGCATGTAATAAATTTCAAATGCCATTCATCCAAGGATTTGATTCTAGGGTCCTTGCTTTATTAAATCTGTCTCCTATTCCACATTCCTAAGTAGAAAGCATGCATGAGCTAATACCAAACCCCAAGACTGCATCACAACTCTAAATGAAAATGTCAATTTAGAGTTTAAATCTTTGATGCAATTTTATTTAATACTGATTTTGATTTTTTTACTGCAAATTTATTTCAACAACACGTTATCATAGCAACATGTTTCACTGTCTAAAAATTAAAATCTGCTCTTTAATGATGGTATATACAATTCATTTAAATCACGAAAAGTAGGATGCATACGGAAGCTCACTTCCAGTGGTTACATGGAATAAGATGCTTTTAAGTGGGTTATCATCATACTGTGCATTAGAGAGGAATATATGGATGACACAGTTGAAAGTAGTTATATCTCCAACTGTCAATCAATCTGACCTAGCAAGGTGCTTCTATTTGTCATAACTAGAAATCTCTAATGGTAAAGGTGAAGTGCAGACTAAAATGGCATTTAAATTCTCTGTTCATATTCACTCTAAGGCAGACATTTCCAAAGAGCCAGTTGGTATGGTGTAAATAAATTCCATATAAAATGTGTTATATCCATTTAGCTACAGTGCCACACCATATTTTACAAAGTAGGACCCTCTCCCAACACATCATCTATGTGAATAAAGGGTAATGTGTAAATCTTTTCAAAAGTATATTTAAGTACTACAATTAGCTGCAGGAAAGGATTCTGCTTTAAAATAAACCAGAATACAGTGTTTTCTTGATAACTAGGGACAACTGATTCCCTTTTCAGGGTTCATAAAAGTCTGCTGGAAAGAGAGAGAGAAGGAAGGCTAAGCAGAGGATGACTTGGGTTCTTATTTCAGTATGGCTTACATCGCATTTTAAATAAGCTTCATTTAGGGGAGAAAAAGGTTTCTCTTGCTTGAATGAGAGTTTGAAATCTCTGTATCATATCACCGGTGCTATTATTCCCTTTGCAAAGACTTGAGAGTAGAAAGAACAAGTCTACTTTCTTGTAACCAAAACAAGAATTGAACCTGGAAAGAACTGGGGAGAAATAAAGAATTCAAGGGCACACGGCAACTCAGAATTTCCTGATTAAAATGGAAATTTAGTCATAATTTCCTTGTTGTGTAACCTCACTCTTACTTCTGCCATAATTCATCTTTTCTCATTAGAATATCAGTTATAAACATTTAAGACTATGCTCGTCTATTGAGAAGTTGCTTGCTTCTCCTTGTCAATAAGAGGGAAATGGTACTCTGTATCTTAGATGTATCTGTTAAAAGTGGACCAAGAGTAGCCTATTTATTAT